TTATTATTATTATTATTTTTATAACGCTCAGCTTGGTGGGCCGAAATGGCCCGAACATGGGCTCACGGGCTGGCTAGAGCTAGAGCTGATGCCCCAAAATGGGGCTCAGCCTGAACCATTGAGCCACGAGCCGGTCCGACTCAGGCTTTTTTCGGACCGAGCCTGAGCGACCCAAACCGACAAGCTTTTTTGTCATCCCTAAATTAGTCATTACGCAATGGGCCGCTGGGCCAAAAGTTTCCAAACAAGCCCTCAATTTTCACGGTCCATATCCAAAACATCGTTAAACTCAACAAAACCCTGGCTCCTCCTTATCAATCTAACTAAACCCTAGAGTAAGAGAAAAATCGGCAGAAATGTCGAAGAGAGGTACAATCTTCTTTTCAATTTTCGAATCATTTATCCAAATAAATGTATTTTCACTAACATTTTCGTTGAATTGATTTCGTATAGGACGTGGAGGATCGGCGGGGAACAAGTTCAGGATGTCGCTGGGTCTGCCAGTGGCAGCGACGGTGAATTGCGCCGACAATACCGGAGCGAAGAATCTGTACATCATTTCGGTGAAGGGGATCAAGGGGCGTCTCAATCGCCTGCCATCTGCTTGTGTCGGAGATATGGTGATGGCCACCGTTAAGAAGGGAAAACCCGATCTGCGTAAGAAGGTCATGCCAGCTGTCATTGTACGGCAGCGCAAGCCATGGCGCCGAAAGGACGGTGTCTTCATGTACTTCGAAGGTATATTTACTCATTTCTCTGTATACACCTGTCAATATATGTACAACTATCTTTTCCTTCATCAAATTTCGTTAAAATGATATGCAGTTAATGACACGATAAACGGATATTGATATTATTTCTGTATATTGAATGAAAGTGAGTTTAACCAGATCTTAGCCAGCTCAAACAGTGGACGTTTTCAATTTGTATTAGTTTTTGTTGATACATACTTGCAATCATTGCATAAATTGACTGTGATCGCAAAGACATTTTGCTTTTACTCTGTGGTAGAGTGTGCAAACATGGATGCAAACGGACAATCACATTGTGCACTCCTTCACTCTCTTCAATTAGAAAAAAA